CACAAGAGTATAATAATAATTGATAAGACATTAGTAACAGTACACATTTAGAAAACCAGCAGTAATATTCAATTATTTGTCCAGTCTTGCATAACTATATCTGGTAATCTGAACAATAGTTTTGATGATAAAAAAGAGAGAATAAACCAACCATTGTTAGTTAGTTATTCTTGTTTTGAATGTCTGTGACATATGTATTGCTCTGTTACCCTGTTTCTGTCATTGTTTTTGCTATTTGTTTTTGCTTTAGCTTCCACTCCTCAAAATAAAATAAAATAAAATAAAGAAAGGAAAGTGAGAAATTGAGGATTAGACAATGAGGAGAGGGCAAGGAGAAAAGCTGGGAAAAATGACACGAACAAAGCCATACATTTATATGCACAAGATGGGTAAGGCAATGATCCTGAGAAATATCAGCAGGTTTTTGAAATAAGCAGTTAATTGGTAGGATTGTCACCCTGACTAACTATATATATACGGATATCTGTGAACTAAGCAACTGCACTGAAGAAAGCAATATGTAATAGAAGGGTCACACTTGGAATGTATGTCATTCTGGTCTTCTAAATATGTACTGTTTGTCATGACATGCCAATTATTGCCATACTGTCTCTCAAGTAAATGTTTGTTTAAAGAAAAAAAGGGCAATAAATGAAAAAAAGAGATAAGAAAAAAAGTCACAGGACTGTCCTGCTACAATGCTGTATATGGTTAGATTTCTAAGTTAAAATATGTAACTATTCATATTTTTATTTTAATTTATTTAATTATTTTTTGATTTTTTGGCAGAACCTGGGATTGAACTCAGACCCTTGCACTTGCCAGGGAAGCGCTTATTCCACTGAGCCATCTCCCTGGCTCCCTATTCATATTTTTTAAAAATATTCTTTATTTTTAATTTTTTTCTCCATATTCTGTAGAGACTTTAAGTTTAACATATCAACACTAGACGGAAAATACCTGTTCCATGTTATGCCTAAGATATTTGATATTCAGACAGATAGTGAGGTTAAACCCAACCTCATATGTTGTAGTAATAATCTTCTCTTCTGGAGGGTTAATAACCTAAGTTTGCAGATCAAAACTTAGAGAAAAAGAAGGGCTGCAAGGACAGCTAAGATTTTTGCCCTAACCTTTCAAAGTTAGTGAAAATTCAGGGCATAGGAGAGCCTGTATTGTAACATTGAGCAACTCAGTTGTGTCCCAAGTTTTCTGATCAAGGAGATTATGGGGCCACAGAGCAATGTGATCCATGACATAGAGTGTGCCTAAGCAGAGTCATATTGAGAGAAAACATTCTCTCAGGCTTTCACAGAGAGCAAATTGGTCAAGCAACGGCCCTGACTTATCCACATGGCTGACACTGACAAAGGATCTGCAAACTGCAGTACAGGGTTACAGGATAAATGCTGAGGGGACTTGATGGACCTTATCAGACACAAAAGATATATTTCTTTTTATATAGGTCTTGCTTTATCTTGGTCTTAACCATCCATCAGAAAAGTATAAAAATTATGTATAAAAAGTAAAGCCATATTAATATGCTGTGCTGTGAAAAGCTGAAGTCAACAACTTTTGACACTGCCCGTCCTACGAATAACCTACTCCTATTATGGACTATTGGTCTATATTGGATTATTTTTCTGAATTCACACACCTACAATATCTAGCTGGCAATGGAATACACATCTCTAACAAAATTAAACAAAAAAGGGAATATAAATGAAGGACCATTTTGTATCTGTATATACAAAATAGTTAAGACAGATGTACACCTACTTTCTGTTAATTCAATGAGATGATTTGCACTAATAGCATTTGGATAGAATGTCATGTCTGCATCTTGTACTATGAATAACCACTAAGAAAATAATAATGTACAATGTATTAATTGTTGAAATTGTCCTATTAATCAGTTTGGAAACTGTCTCTTTTCTATCTGTTTTTCAATAAAATTAATAAAAAATAAATAAAAGCAGTCCTAAGAGAGCTGATAGCGGTGAAGTCTTCATGACAAAGACATAGCAAGCTCAAATAAATAAACCAAAGATAAACCCAGTTATTTAAGAAGCACAAAAATAATCCAAGCCCAGAATGAGAATGAGGAAAGAAATCAAAGCAGAAATTACTGAAATCGATGAAATTAGTAAAATAAAATGAAAAGAACTAGTGAATCAAAGACTTCTTTCTTCAAAAGACTAAGCAAAATAAAACTATAGTAGTTACTCATAGTACAAGACACAGATATAATATCTTTTCTCAACAATATTAGTACAAATATTTCTTCTTATTGAATTAAGAGAAAGTAGCTGTATACCTATCCTATTTTGTAAATATGTATATTATTTTTCTCTGCAAAATGGTCCTTCCTTTATATCCCTCTTTTTTCTTTAGTTTTGTCAGAGATGGGTATTCCACTGCCATTCAAATACTGTAGGTGCGTGAATTCTGCAAAATAATACAATAGTCCAGTAGACCATAATAGTAGTGGGTTATCTGCATGACTGTCAATGTCAGAAGTTGTTGACTTGAGTATTTTACAGCTCAGCATATTAATATGGCTTTATACTTTCGTACCTTGAGTTTACAGTTTTATGGTGAATGGTTAATTCCAAGATAAAGAAAGACCTACATAACAAAAAATGAAACTTTTATATTTCAAGATGTCAGTCAACTCCCCTCAGGATTTACCTTGAAACCATGTACAGCAGTTTGTAGATATTTTGTCAGAGTCAGTCATCTGGATGAGTGACAGCCATTGCTTGACCAATTTGCTCTCTGTGAAAGCCTGAGAGAATGTTTTCTCTCTAAGTGACCCTCCTTGGGCACACTCTACATCATCAAACTCTTTCCTTCTGTGGCCCCATCATCTTTTTAAACAAAAACTGTGGGACACCACTGAATTATAGGATGTCACAGTACAGGTTCTATTATGTCCTGATTTCTCACTGACCTTGAAGTGCTATGACCAAAATGTTGGCTATTCTTGTAGTTCTTCTTTTATTTCATTTTTTTCCCTGGAAACTTAAGTTGTCAACCCCCCAGAGGAGAAGCTTAATGATATTATTACCATACAACATAGGCAGTAGAACTTAACATCACTATCTGCCTGAACACCAAATACCTTAGATATAACATGGGACAGGTATTTTCCAGTAGTCATTGATATGCTAAACTTTAAATCCCTAGCAAATGTGAAAAAATAAACAATTACACATTTTTGCACAGAAATTTAGATATCTAACTGTATACAATATTGTAGCAGGACAGTCCTATGACAATTTTTCTTTTCTCTTCTTTTCTTTTATTACCTTTTTTTAAACAAGCACTTACTTGAAAGAGAGTATAGCAGTTATTGATATGACATCAGAAGCAGTACACATTTAGAAGACCAGAATGACAGAGAGAAAATTGGTCAAGCAATGGCCATAACTCATCCACATGGCTGACAGGGACAAAGATTCTACAAATTGCGGTACAGGGTTTCAGGGTAAATCCTGAGGGGATTTGATTGACCTTGTCAGATACAAAAGTTACATTTCTTGTTATATAGGTCTTGCTTTATCTTGGTCTTAACCATGCAGCAGAAAAGTATAAAAATGAAGTATAAAAAATAAAGCCATATTAATATGCTGAGCTGTAAAAGGCTCAAGTCAAAAACTTCTGACATTGCCAGTCCTACGCGTAACCCAGTACTATTATGGAGTACTGGACTATATTGGATTATTTTGCTGAATTCACACACCTACAATATTTAAATGACAACAGAATACCTTTTTTGTCAAAATTAAACAAAAAAGGGCATAGAAATGAAGGATCATTTTGTATATGTGTTCAAAATAAGATAGATATACAGCTACTTTCTTTTAACTCAATGAATAGCAGATATTTATTAGTAGTGCTTGTGGACAGGATATCATGTCCGCAACTTGTACCATGAATAACCACTATATATGCTTCGGTATTTGAATGTAGATTGTTTCCCCATATTTTGGACGTTTTCTGCTATTACTTCTGCACAAATTCTTATTATATAATTTGCATTAATGAGATTTTTGGCCTTATCTAAACATAAGAAGTATATAATTCTTTATGCCTATTTTAAAAATATATTCTAATTTTTAAATTTTTTTTCACATTCTGCAGGGACTTAAAGTTCAACATATCAATACTCAATGAAAAGTACCTGTTCCATATTATGCCTAAGATGTTTGATATGCAGACAGATAGTGAGGTTAAGCTTAACAGCCTA